CCATACTGTTTTTGTTATACTATCCTTGGCAGCCAGAACGTTCTAGAAATTCTTGAAACTTTTAGAAACTTCTTGAGAGTTCTAGAAAATCCTTCAGCAAATCAGCGCTGAATCTATGTAGGATGTAATGGAAAATAGGTTAGTTTCAAAACATCGATGCAAAGAGAATAATAATCATTTCTTTTGTTTTTTTTAGAGAAAAGCAATTAGGAAATAACACTTATTAACAAAAGACAAAAATGTAAAAATTTTGTTACACAGTATATAATCATTGTTATTGTTAATATTGTTAATATTGTTAATATTGTTAATATTGTTAACATTGTTAATATTGTTAACATTGTTAATATTGTTAATATTGTTAACATTGTTTCACAGTATATAATCATTGTTATTAGTTAATATTATTTTCAATCTCAGTGTAATTATTAATACAACGGTGTTTATCAAGGTAGAATTCTATTATATACATATATGTAAAAGAAAGGATAAACACGCAGGCACACATCTGTATATTATATATAAATATACGTGTCATAGAAAAGAGAAGGAGAACGAATATTTTACATTTTATTTTATTTGCTTATGCTGTTTTCAATATGAGTTAGAAATCACAGATTCGTACCGGGTACGTGATTTCGTTTCGTCTCTTTTTTAGATTTTCGTTTTTTATTAAATCCTCAGCCTTAACATCGGTTTTCAATACACAGACATGTCACCGTGAAAGATTTCAATGGTGGAAAGCGAAGCATGCTGATTTGCCTCGCAGTCCTATTTAATGAATTTATTCAACTTTCAATTGAAATAAAAAAAAAAAAAAAAAAATGGAAAACAGGCAATGATGGTGAATAGAAATTGAGAATCAATGCCAAACATGTTTTACGGGATTTCATTACCATTAATGTCATTTTTATTATTAATATTTTTCGTATTATTTATATTTTATATTAATATTTTTTGAAAGAGCCAATTCAACTAATCTATCTATCTATCTATCTATCTATCTATCTATCTATCTATCTATCTATCTATAACCTTTTTAAAAATCTCTATCTTAATCTATCTATCTATCTATCTATCTATCTATCTATCTATCTATCTATCACCTTTTTAAATATCTCTATCTTAATCTATTCATATCTATCTATCTATCTATCTATAACCGTTTAAAAAATATCTATCTATCTATCTATCTATCTATCTATCTATCTATCTATCTATCTATCTATCTATCTATCTATCACCATTTTAAATATCTCTATCTTAATCTATTCATATCTATCTATCTATCTATCTATCTATCTATCTATAACCTTTTTAAAAATCTCTATCTATCTATCTATCTATCTATCTATCTATCTATCTATCTATCTATAACCTTTTTAAAAATCTCTATCTATCTATCTATCTATCTATCTATCTATCTATCTATCTATCTATCTATCACCTTTTTAAAAATATCTATCTATCTATCTATCTATCTATCTATCTATCTATCTATCTATCTATCTATCTAAAGCTCTACATAACTAAACTTCTCTCCATTAATCATCTGAAAGACCCCTTGCTGCCTTCCATCAGCATAACCGATGCTATCCCCCAGGAAAGTGACTGGTTGCGCCGTCTCGGCCTCACGTTCTCTGCTAATATGAAGTGGAAAGACTATATATATATATATGAATCCATTGCTATGTCAGTTGCGAAGAAAGTCTGTTCACTATGTCAGGTGAGACAATCTTTCTCTCCCAAATCTATCTTACATATCTATAAGACTACCATTCGTCCATGCTTAAAATATTACTGCCACATATAGTCAGGTGTCCTTGCTATTTACCTTGAGCTTCTTGATAAGATCCAATGTAGAATCAGCAATATTATTGGTCCTGATCTGTCTGCTCAGCTGTAGTCACTTTCCCACCAACGTAAGGTTGCCTGTCTATGTCTTTTCTATAAATACTTTCATGGTAATTGTTCGAATGAGTTCTACGCTATGGTAACTAGAATTTTTGAATTTAAGCGCAGCACTAAACTGGCATCGAGATCTCATTAATTTACAGTTCAGCTGGATAGATTTAGTCGTCAATTCTCTGCTAACAGTTTCCTCTGTCGCACTTCTCCCTTGTGTTTTAGTGACATTACTGCCTTGTTTGGGGTGATTCCAATTCCCCACCCCCCAACAAATAAACAAAATAAAAAAAACAAACTATCAGTCTATCTATTGCATTCCATATATTTCTCTCTTTCAATCTGCCTGTACATTTATAATACCCGTTATGGATTTTATGAGTTTCAACATTCTGTTAATCACTTCATACTTTAAAATAAGCTTTCCAAAAATAAAATACCTGGATTAGAGTGTACCTTTAAGGAAAGATACCAATTTAAAATATACAAAACAAAACTAATTCCATTTTCCGTAAATAGAGTCCAAGATTTTTATATTACCGCCTGACAATCCAGTTCTGATTTCTCCAAGATGACTTGATAGGTTTTCCAATCAACAGAATGTCATATTCAGTCTTTTTGCAAATATATACAGGGAACTTTCTTGTCTTTCTGTATATGGATAAACCTTTTATAATGTCTTTATATCTGAAAACAGATTTATATTTTACATGACGGCCCGTTCTTCAACAATATAAAGTGTTCGACAGATAGATTATTTTTTCTCGTTCGGATTATCTCTTGTCTTGTTGGTTAGTTAGTGTCGACTAGCTACAAATTCTTTAATCGGATTACTTTTCCCGGTATTCTACAGAAGGTACTCGTTCGAACTCAAACAATTTTGTATTTGTATTTCTTGTACAGTCAATAAAATTTGAATAGGGGAAGAGAGAGGGAGAGAGAGAGATAGAGAGAGAGGGGGGAATTGAGAGGGAGAGAGAGGTAGACATAGAGAAAGGGAGATAGAGGATTTGAGAGGTAGAGAGAGGTAGAGAGGGAGAGAGAGGAATTGAGAGGGATAAAAAGTGCGAGAGAGGGAGAGGGAAAGGGAGAGAGAGAGGTTAGATGGAGGGAGAAAGAAAATATTAGAAAAAGAGCAAATGAATGATAGAGAGAGAAAGAGTGAGAGAGAGAGAGTGAGTGAAAGAAGACTAAATTCAGGAAAACATAAAAAAGAGTATGTGAGAGAGAGAGAGAGAGAGAGAGAAAGAGAGAGAGAGAAAAGTCGAAGTTAGGGAAAGAATATAAAATGTGAGAAGAAAAGAGACAAAGAGAAAGAGAGAAAGAGAAACATTGATGGATTTATTTGTTTATTACGGCTTATCAACCCTTTGTGGGAAATTTAAATCCGTAACATTTTGGATTGTAAGAATAATTCATTCTTGTGTTAAGAATTTTTGGGAGATAATAATGATTTTTTCAGATGAAGGTGCTATTATTTAACCCATAGCTGAGGGGAGAAGAAGACAGATAAATTGTAGAGTTAAGGAGTAAAATTCGTAAAAACATTCAAATAGCTAATAGGGTGCGTTACTAACCTTACTATCACTAGTGATCACTCCTAATGGTGTTTATGAAATTGCAACAAATTTTCAATTGTTCCTCCATTTTGTTGTGTAACCAAAGTTGCAGGTTTGAGCAAATTTTTGACAGAATATCCATAAACTTTTGTTTCTTTTTCTTTTTGCCTATGTTGTCATGACGTTTGTTTTTTCTATTTTGTCATAGATTTTTCAAAAATTGTTCTGATAGATCCGATCAGATTTGTGAAGGAATTTTCCTAAGTTTCATTACACATTTGAATACTTTGTTCATATTTATTCATTGTAAGAAAAACTA